ATAAAGGCATCAAAGGCATCACCCTCCTTAGTCCTATGGAGCGGGGAGTCCTGACTCAAGTGGTGGTGACTGGGCCATGCTCACAGTGGGAAAGGAGAGCCAAAGCAGCCTTGTGGGAGGGGCCTTTGGGTCAATTCAATGTACTGTTGTCACTTCCACATCTGAATGTGCAGTAAGAACTTATGTGCCATGTAATTGTACTTCTCTGCCCCATAAGTGCCAGAGGCGATCACCTCAGTTAGGAAGAGCTCCATGTAATGAAGTGAACATCCTTTGGGGTCCCCAAAGCCTTCTGATCTCTTTGGTAATATTACAAATTGGTGCTTCTGACAAAGGAAGCCTCCACCTGGAAGTGCTGCTTGGGCTTGTGAACCCCTTACAGCCATGGCATAGCCACCAGGTATCTTTGGAAAGACAGCTGTTAGCTTGCTGATAAACTTTTCTTGAAACTGGACATCTGATTCACGGAGGCCTTGTGACTCTAGGGCCTATATTTCCATTTGGGGCGAGTCAGTTTGGACTCAATGACTAACTAGATAGGGCGATTTAAACAGACCTCACTAATCCTATGGAAATGATATAGTCAAGAAAGTGGTCAGCCTGTCCCCAGTGCAATCTCAGCTTTACACAAAAAAACCAGCAGATGCCCTCTGCTGCCCACTCTACTGCCTGAAGCAGAGGTTCTGGCTCAGTGAGGCCCTTCTGTTCACAGCGCTTTCCCTCCTCCTTGGGCCTGGTTGGATGGTGTTTGGGCTGAGCTGGAATCTGATGATGTCCACTGAACCACTGCAGCTGTACAACCTCTGCAGCAGCTGTGAAGAACTGAAAATGGATGTGATCGCTCTATTCACGCAACAGAAATCCAAGCCATTCCCATATTTTTACAGACTCGTGGGTTGTGGTCAGTGGCCTAGCTTATTGTATGTGCCATTTGGAAAACTACAGACTGACAGATTAAAGGGGGCTAGGGCTGTGAATTGTGCAACAAATCGTGGCTGTTGACCAAGCCATCTGAGGCCCTGACGAGGCGACGTAGAGCCAAACCACTGATTAAGTCCCCATTATCTGCTTCCTCGATCAACCATAGTACTGATCATGGCAATGTATCTGCTGTCATACAATAGGCACAAAATAAACAATTCTGAGTTTCTGATGCAGAGGCCCCTGCTGCATAGGATTTGTTCATCTGTTTGGGTCGGGGACGCCTGGGAGGCGGGGGCCTGCCTGAAGTTAGTACTGCAGGTCGGCCTTACTTGTCTAGCTGGAGTTCTGTTAAGCATAGAGTTAATAAAGTGTTTTCTGGGATAAATTGAACAGATTTGACCCCAGCCATTGTTCATTAGAATAATTAGTGGGGCCAACAGAGTGGTTTAGTAACAGGAAAATTTGGCATACATCAAGATGGTGTAAAAATGAGGAGTAGATGGTTTTGGGAAAGAATTCTCCATGGGTGTCTGGAATTTCTGTATGTCTTGCAAGCAGGGGCACAGTTGTCTTTCTTTGAGACTGTCTTATGTAGTTTTGTATGGGGAACATCTCTGAATGACAGAAACAGTGTCTCACACTGGAGCAAAGGGTAAGTATACTTAAGGCCTTGAATGATATAGTGTCTTCCTTTGGAGCAAAAGGCAGGCAGGCTCATGGTCAAGCAAAACATAATGTCTACCTCTGCTGCCAAGGGAAGATATGCTTACTGTCCATTACCAAGGTTCACGTTCCCTGTGCTGGGGGTTCCTTTCTTGTAATGCCACCCATTGCTTGTGCAAGCATCATAGAGCCCTCTTTGCATTTCCCTGTGGGAGTCAGGGCTTGGTAAACCAGCATAAATACTGGTCTTGTAGCTACTGTTATTTGCGATGAGTGATAAGCTTATTTTCTTCTCTGACCCAGGAGTCTTGTACCTTCTGTCAGTATCCATGGCAGGCTCACTTGTTAGCTAGCACATAGGTTAAAATTTTAGACTTTTCACCAATCTACATTATTAGGAGCTATAAAAGATATACTTTTAACCTTGGTGGTCTCAAGGAGTTGTCAGTTAGCTTTGTCGGTATAAAGTACGAAATGATTGCTACTTCTTGACGTGGAATTCTTTTTTAAGCAGCGGTTCAGGATGTAGGCGCCTTTGTTTATTTATTTTGGTATCTATTAACTTCCAAATTTGCCATGCTCATTTGCATCAAGCCATACTCATTTGCATCAAATGAGCATGGAGAAATGTGAATGGGACATTTTTATGGGACAAGCCTAACAGTGGTGCATATTCGTATCATTCACCATCCTATTCAATTGATTGGAGCTTGTTCAAAATAAGTCTTAGTTGGGGAGAAACATGGTCTAGTCCTGTGTCCATGAAGAAGAGACATGGGTTTGGTGGAATGTCTTGCCCACAGATGGGTATTTCCAGCCAAGAGAAACCTCAGGTGTACTGACATGAAAGTGAGCCATACATGACTTCTGCGTGATTAAAATCACAGGATGCATGAAAGAGACTGTGGTAGAAGATGAGAGGCTAGTCATGAATCATGTTTTACCATAGGCAGATCTCTCTGCAGGTGACTGGCACATGCTGAAGAATTTTAATATTGCAAAAACAAGACTAGGGGAGAATGCTTAGGGAGCTATAGCAACAGACTGGGTGAGGGGAAAAAAAAGACAATTTTAATGAAGCCAGTGACAGAAGAGATTCACTAATATGATAACAAGTGTCATGCATTGTGTTGGGTGCTGGGTATGTGCCAAAATAAAACCAGTAACCAATGGACCAATTAGATATAGGTGGCAAGAGAGAGGGTAAAGAATAGCATGTGGTGGGAGACTATCTGAAGAGAGAAATGAGGTGGAGAAATAATGAGATCAGTTTTGAATCGCTGAATTCTATGCACTTGTACAACATTTAGGTGGACATGTCCAGCTGGCATTGTTTATGTGTAGCTCGAGCTCCTTAGAAAAGTCAAAACACAGATAGTAACACCCAGGTAGAGACAACAGGTTGCAAAGAGAGGGCTCTCATATCACAGATATTCAGCAAGTATGTGTTAATTGACTTAATGTTTGTGTCATTAATTTACCGTTTAAAGGGGGAACTCGTTACCCTTTGAATTTACTGAGCACATTCTAACTTGATTCTGATTGCTCAGGTATTCAGGTGGAGGTAATATGTACCTATGTCTGGAAAGACAAAATAGTAGCATTCATTTCAAGAAGAAATCTAAAATAATACTAAGTGAGCATATATCCTGCTTTGACTGAAATGGCTATCATTGGTGGAGGTCTATCATTGCTTCGGATTTCTTGTTACTTCTGCTAGCTACAACCATGATGCATAGGAAAGTGCCAAGCGCTTTGATTATACTCAGCATATAGTGATCACCTTAAAAAACATTATGTTCCTTTTTTTTTTCCTTTTTGTTAGACTTTGTTGTTTAATAAAGAAATACTCTTGATCACGGATGCTCCAAGCTAATTGCCATTGCAAATTTAGTTTCAGGACACAATCAGCAATAACGAGACCACAGGGCTTAAACTGACTACTTTTGTTTTCATTTCTGCAGTATTAGGGCTAGAGGTAATAAGAAAGAGACGTGAGCTCCTCTGTATGCACTCCACTTTCCCATGCCATCCCTGTCCTTTGTTGCCTGGCTGGAATTATGGTCACTCTGCAAATGAGGCATGATTTCGTGACTGCCATCCAAAAGAGCCGAAAGCTGAGAAACGCTGTGCTTCCCCTCTGAACCCTCCGTTCTTCCACATTAACTGCATACATCACAACCTGCTCAGAAGATATAGAAATGCGAATTCTGTTTTCTTCTTGGTTAATTTTTGCTTATTGAATTGCCCGATTTCATGGAAATTGCGGAGGGTGGTATGTAAACATTGTAACAGAGACCATCTGTGTTCTTCCACTGAGTGAGTTAGTATAGAATGCTAATAAAACCAAATAGCAGCTTTTCACTCCCAAAGAGCCAGCGAGCATTTTCCTGTGCCATAGAAACAGACTAAGTCCTGCGTGCAAACCTGCCACGCCACCAGTGCACGTCTTTGTTACAAGGACAGAGTGAAGCAGTATAAATTGGCCAACCTAAATTCACCATCCCTGATGAAAGGCAAGACACAAAACCTTGAAGTACTGGACTTGCTGATCTGGGTTGACTCCATCAGCTATCCATTTGAAGAACTTAATGAGTTACCCATACTTATGGTGGCTCAAAGATACCAGGAGATTATGTTTGTACAGTCTCAAAAGATGTAGCCTACTTCTAATTTTAACTGCAATACGATGTTTAGAAAGGCTGTATCTATTTTTCCTATTTGAAACTAGTGTCCTTCTAAATATGTTGTGTCTATAGTACTTCATTTAGGGACACCGGTTCCAGAGTTCAGACCCTCTCGCCATTTCAGATTTGGCCAAAAGGTAGAGCAGATGTTGGGCTGGAGGTGGACTGTTTCCAAAGGGATATTGAGAGTTAGGTTCCACTGGGCTGGGGGTTCTGTCCTTCTGTAAGCTTGTTTAGGTGCTGAGTCTGCTGTGTGATGCAGAGAAGACATAAAAAAAAAAAAACTTCTCTAGCCTCAGCTTTCTGAGCACAAGCCAGAAAATCAAATCTATATTCCTCCAGTTCGGGGGATATAGAGGGCAGCTTCTTGTATACTGTGCTTGGTAGAAGTCTGTTAATACAAAGACATCATTTTTTAATGAACTCTAACATTAGTAAGGTTATCATCACATGTAGAACTACTCAAGAGATTTGCACTTCAGAGCCTGAGTAAATCACCATGTCCACAGTTGTATCTTAGAAATTAATCTTTTGAATTATAGTCATAAATAGATTGAATATCACTCAATTATAAGAAAAACTGGCCTCATATTGCCACTAATAGACACTTCGTATTTGAATTATATTACTGTATTGATTTCTTACCATTTTAACTTTCTGGGGTGAAAATCTAATTTACAAATTGTAATTGACTTTTCAAATCAACAATGTTGATTTCCATTATAGGAATCATCCCAGTTATCTGGACTCCCTGAGTATGTTAAAATAGTAGAAGTTGGACCTAGGGATGGATTGCAGAATGAAAAGGTAAGTTTAATATCAAATTTACAGTTAATTTCAAATGCTAACTTGAAATATTGTTAAGATTCCAAAGATTTACATAGTTTTCATATGCTACACTATTATATCTGTTTTCAATTTGCTTGTTGAATTTATCAATCTTAAATAGGATTTGCTTTCTGTTATGAAGCAATTTTCTGTTTATGTTTCAATAGACCCTATGTAAATTACTGGTAAAATACCTTTTAATGTTTTCATAGGTTATAGTTCCGACAGATATAAAAATTGAATTTATCAATCAGCTGTCCCAAACTGGCTTATCTGTAATAGAAGTGACCAGCTTTGTGTCCTCCAGATGGGTACCACAGGTATGTAAATCCATAATCCTTAACTGGATCTTTAATTCAGTTTTGCCAAGATTTAGAAAACAGTGTGATATACATTGTGAATATTACCTGATACAATTACTAATTTGCTATGTTCTTATAAAATATTAACCCATGCACTGAGATATGATTAAAGCAAAACCTCTTTGATGAAATATATTACTTAAGTCCTAAAAAGTCATTTAGAACTCCGTTTAATTCTACATGAGTATATGGACCAACATAATGTAGAGGATAAGGCTCAGCCCTGACATCTTTCACCACCATTAAGTTTAAGGTTCCTCTGAGATTCAGCCTTCAGTAATTTTCTTTTCCTGTGCTCTCTTCTTTGCCTTTCCTTCTAACATCAGTACTCACTTCCGATAGGTTGATGATAAATCTATTTCTAGTCTTCCACTCGCTAATAACCTTCAGCTAGATGTGCACCTCAAATCAGTGGGTTCAAAATCAAACTTATTATTGTCTATCCTGCTTTATGCTGATAGCTCAACTATTCCTTTTGGAGTCTTGGACTTGAATGTTCAATGGGTCATCTCCTATATCTAGTCAGTTACTGACTCATAAAAATTCCTGTTCCTCAGTATAGCTTATCTCTTCTTTTCAATCCCATTGATACACTAGTAATCCACACACCCTTATTGACTAGTTACTGTGATAGTCACTTAAATTTTATTCGTAATCACTGTGTCACTTTTTCTTTTCCTTATATATTTTGCCCATTGCTTCTAAAATAACCTCCCAGAAATATCAGTGTTCTCAAACTCGTGTTCTGAGTTCTTTAGAGGTTCCCTTCTCACCACTGAAAAAGTCTGGAAACTTTGGCTTGGCCTCCTTCTATACTTGGCCCTTTTTTTCCTTTCCAGTCTTTTCTTTCTTCTTCTTTTTCTTTATTAGTAGTTTCAGGTGTACAAAGCAACACAAGAGTTAGACATTTACACCCCTCACCAAGCTACTACCCCTTTGACATCTTATATTGCTGTTATAATTTCATTGACTATATTCCCTATGCTGTACTTTACATCCCATAATCGTGTGTGTGTGTGTGTGTGTGTGTGTGTGTATTTAATTATAGTTGATATTCAGTATTATTCTACTTCAGTTTCAGTTGTATAGCGCATTGGTCAGGCATCTACAGTCTATGAAGTAATCCCCCTGAGGCATCCAGTACACATCTGATACCCTACATAATCTTTACAACATTATTGATTATATTTCCCATTTTGTATTTCATATCCCCGGGACTGTAGTTTTCCTCCTTCATTTTGCTGAAGCCCTGATCAACCGAATTGCTTCCTATTCCCTGTTTACATGTCCTGTCTCTAGCTATATAGCACTCTGTACTTGCTTACATACATCTCAATTTCTGCATTGCTCTGAAGTCATGACAGGATGATGTGAAAAGGCTTAAAACATTAAAGTCTTTTAAATTAGAAGTCATTGGAAGTAACAGGAACCACAATAGGATTAATAGTATTAGTACTATGTCACTGTTCAAAGAGTCATTATTTAAATATCAGAGTTACTTTTATTCATCCTCAAAATAGATTGTTTTTTCTTCATCCCATTTGTCACTGTTGATAACCATACTATTTGTAAATATTTTCCAATTATCTTCTTCCTGAACTATAAGCCTGTGGAGATAGCGACCATGTCTCTCTTGTTCATCACTATATCCCCAGTGCTCTGTGCTTAGTGAGTAGGTGCTCAATAAATAACTGTGAAATGAATAGTGAATCAATCAGTGTTAAAAAATCATAACATACTGCTTTGAATTCTTTGGTATGGACACGTGACTTTTACTTTTGTTCACATATTTTGTCTAATGGAGGTCACAGATATTTCCCTTAGGAAGACACAAATAGCTTGATGAAACTACACATATTTCCTTTGTATTTTCATTTTGTAAAATGCTAGCTATTATCATTTCACTGGCTGTCATTAATTTTAAGGGAATGTGAGACCCTGTTTTCATAACTTTAAGTTTTCATGAAATTGCTTCTGTGTTGTATTCAGTCAGTGCTCATTTCACATATTTAATTATTGTTAGACAATGGATAGTCTGGTATAACTTTAGAGTAAGTCTTTAGAGAGAGAACAGTTCATGGTAATATTAATTGATGAGCAACCAAAATTATATTTCAGATATTTTACTAGTCCTCTTCAAGATACTTTTATTTCCCAATAATTTGATAAAGCTGCATACAAAGCATTCTCCTTTATTACTATGATGCCCATGGTCACTTTTTATTATTATACAATGCTGGAAATCGATTGACAGATTATTCTTCCAACTGATCTGGGACACTCCCCGTGACATTTAGAAGGATGAGGCTAGAACCCTTTGTAGAGGGCCTCATTTCTTCTTGCACAACTAGTTAAGAGCGAAGTTGAACAAAACAAAAGGGCAGGCAGTCCCTCTGTGAGCAGTAATAGGAAAATGCCTTCTGGGCTCACATTAAGTAGATCCATGTGATGGGACCATAAAATAATATGATTTATTGTGGGCTTGCTCCTGAGGTGAATTTGGGACTTAACCTATTGAGATTTAATGAACTCTTCCTAGGCTCAGTGTATTTTTGAATACATGACATAATTCCCCACGTAGTTCCTGAGGACAGCTGTGGGGAGGTAGAAGTTCCTCTGGAACTGCGTTTCTGTCTCCATTCTGCCTTGAGCTTGAGTAAGTGACTTGACCTTTTGGAATGTTGGAAATCCCAGCAGCGATGCGTGCAGTTCGGGAGGGTTCCGAGCAGGGAGGCATGTGAACGGGTCCCCGTGTGTGAATGCCTGGGGTTCTGAGCAGCGCTCAGTATTATCTGAGTAAATGCCTGACTGACAGAGGGACCGACTGACTGATCCTGGGTGCCACAGAGGTGAACTGCCTTCTCTTCAATAAGCAGTTTTTTTCTTAATGATGAAAATACGTGTGTAGTTCAAATATTAGGCCCAATCTGAATAATTAAAGATACTAATCCCTTCAGATAATACAGAATATGTTATATACTTCGCTTTTAACACTCATCTGGTTTTATGCATTGTAATCCCCCCAAAAAGATTGTTTTGAATAAAGCACATACCTATAAAAGAGCAGTGTGCCTGAATCAAAGATATCATGAGATTCATATTCCAAAGTTATACCAGTCCCTTACTACATAAGATAGCGAGTGTTTGTCAGAGGGCGCTATTGATAATGTTCCATTTTTGCCATTTTATTTTCCAGAGTTGTGTCTGTGTTTTAGAATTCACAGAGCTTGCCTAAGCAGAGCATTTTTTATAGTTGTAGTTGCAGTTTATCTCGTTATGAAACTGTGGATGTCAATGTTTTTATACTCACAGACCAGGCCCTAAGTCAGCAGAACTAACGCATAATGTTAACTTCTCTCTTCAAATTTTTATATCATTCTCTCTCGCATTTGAAGAAACTCCTATGACGCAGACTCACCTCACTTTAAAATAATGCTTGAGATTTGTGACAGAACAATCTTAGTACAGCCGCTTATGTATAATTGTCAGAAGCAATTTCTGTTTCTAAAGACAGTGAGTATGGTCCTAAATTGGTATTCTATGAATTCTCTGCATCTTCTTCTATTTCTTTCTGTCAAACATAGGTCATGGGAATAGTCCTCTAATTTGTTTAGATTGCTGCTTGTTCACTTATTTCTTTTTTTAGTATTTTAAAGCTTTTTTTTATAGTTTCCCTCCTACTGTTTTGTTTGGCAGCGGCTTTCTAACTAAGTCAGCTAAAGAAAAGTTCCTTGGTAGCAGGGTGCCGTATAAAACAGGATCCCACACCTATAATCTAAATGTCCAGACATGATAAAATACCTGCCGCTAAAAAAAATGTTCTTTACAACTTATCTAGAAAAAGGCTTACTTAGAATGATTTATAAGAACATTTGAAATAAGTCCAGATAGCCCCTTGCTTCGGTGGAATGAACAACAATAACAGCAGAAAGAAAACATGTTTATAAAAATAGGTTTACTGCAACTTTGGAATGTGGCTCTTCGTAGTAAGCCTTTTAAATCATTATAAATACAGTATTTTTAAAAAGTGAACTAGAGTTTTACATTCATTTTTCCTTTAGCCATTTGGTTTTAAACATGTTCATTCACATGAGTGATTAAAGGGAACGTAGTTTATTTAAAAATAAGAATACATTAAATGTACACAACTCAGTATGTTTATGAGTGTCATATGCAGAGTCTCAGCTATAAATATTTTCCCCTTGTTTAATTAATTTTTAACTGTTGGAATGGGTGGGTCACCAATCTCGACATGTCAGCAAGGGCTAGAAATAGATTTTCTCTATAAAAGTAGAAAAAATATACATAAAAGACTGTAACAATTATTTACAAATCAGTCTAACACTTAAAAGTATGGCCTAAGTACAATGTAAGCAAGAAGGAATGTGTAAATCTTTCCCTACTCTCCTTTTACTGTGTGTTTCAATTAATTCTTTATTGGTAATGAAAACACATTTACTGGATTGAAGTTTAAGATTCCGATTTACACTGATGAGATGCAGGAGGCTTTAGTCTCTGCTACTGAGTTCCCTCCGAGCTTCTATTTCTGGCTCTGCTCTTTTTGAGCATGTGTGGAGAAGAGGCAAGGAAGGGGATAATTCAGCAGAGATGCAAGGGGGGGGAGGGGAAGGGTAGGGTTGGGGGAGAGGAAAGTGGGGGGGGAGAGAGAGAGAGAGAGAGAGAGAGAGAGAGGTATCGGGCTTGTGTGTGCTCAGACACACAGAGCCCCCAGATTCTTTTGCTCGTGAGCCACAGTTAACTGGCTGGGTAATTTTATCATCTGGGAAGTGTTCCAGTGCTAGTCTCATTCATTACACCCCAGAAGAGTTGGCCTCTGAGATCTCCCCAAAGAGGATCCTGGTGAAATTTACCAAGACCTCCCTTCTCATTTCATGACGTTATAGTAGTCCTTTAACTCAGCTAGGTTGGGGAGGGGGAGAGTGGGCTGGAAGGGGAGC